CAGTCGAAACATAATAGCAGTCAGGAGGACTTTAATTTGCATTACCAGGCTCATCAACCACAGAGCACTTTCGAAAACTGTTGGCTTCTTTTGACTTTCAGATGCACTGTGGATTTTATGTTTGTTCGCATTTGCTTCTGCATAGTGTTCCTTGTGCATTCTGGATACAAATCCTTGTCAGACATTTAATTCCCAAATATTTCCTTCCACTCTGTAGGACACCTTCTCATTTTAACTTGGGCTGTGCAGAAGTTCAGTTTGATGCAGATCTGCCTGCTTCATTTTGCTTTTACTGTCTATGCTTTTAGTATCAAATTCAAAAATTTAAGGAGCTTCCCATGTATTGAAAACTTTTTGTTTCTTGTCTTTTTAAAGATTCGTTTTTATTTTGTGTGTATAGGTGTTTTGCCTACATATGTTCAGTATCTAAGGGGTGCAGAAGAGAGTGTTGGGTCTGAGCCCCATGGGAGCTGGGAATCCAACCCAGGAACTTCATAAGAGCATGCGTTGCTCCTAACTGCTTGTCAGTGTCTTCGTTCCCTGGGTTCATAACTTATGTTTACAGCATTAATGCACTTTGGACTTTGATGACAGCACCTTGGCTCTTATATATTTCCTTTAATAATATTGGTATGTGACCTGGCATAACTACAGCACAAAATCGTTCATGTCTTATGTTTCAATAGCTCCAAACTTCTGTCACACTCTGACCATTCTTTCAGTAATACTCTCACATAACAAATCTGTGAAAACAAGGAAATCCACCCCTTTCTCAACTCCTCTTTTTAACATATACTCCCTTTCTTGAGTTTTATTCCCACTCTTCTAGGCAGTTTTTATAATGTTATAGATTATTATGTATGCCCCCTCCAAATTATTATGTAACAATCTTCATTCACATTGCAAACATATCAAAAAATGAGGCCATTGCAGTTGATGTCACAATGAAGGCCATACTCTGGCATGACTGATGTCCTTATTATGGTGGACAAGGCAATAGCTCAGTCAGCAAGGTGAAAACACAAAGACAAGAGCTTAATCCCCAAATGCAGGGCTTTTTTGTTTTTGTTTCTTTAAAAACCGGGTACTATGGCATGCATTCATCATCTTACTGTGGAGAGAAAAAGGACATATAATTGAGGTTCCAGGAAGCCAGCCTAGCCTACTTAAGAAGGACCAAGCCAGTGGAAGTTTTTAAAAATTTTTAAAGTGGCTAGCACCTAAAAATATCTTACATTATTATCTGACTTCAACATATGCATGGAGATCCATGTACATTCACACACAAACAAATAAATAAATAATAAAAACCAAGATATTTGAACACAGACTCCCACATATGGCATTCACTCAGTGAAGATGAGAGCTGAGAACAAGATGGTGTTTCCTCTGCAAACCACAAACGTGCTTGAAATTTCTGGAAAGGAAAATGAGAAACATGGCCTCTCAGTCCTCAGAAGAACCAACCCTGCTGACATTTTGTGCTTGATATTCTAAAATCATCAAGGGAAGCATTTCTGTTGTTGAAGCCACCACATCTGAGGTACATTGTTACAGCCACCCTAGCAAACTGGCACACATCATACGCCTACAGTTTATATCAAAGGTATGTTGTGTGTGGGTGTGGTGTGTGTAGCCTTATAGAACAATGCCTATAACATCGTAATCTTGCAATAATTACTAACTGTTGTCATCCTTCTCTGCTGTACTATATTCCAACCTCTGTAGCCTTAAGTACTTCACCAAAAGGTATCAACTTCTAGCTCCATGAAGTCTACATAGTCGTAATAGAATGGTAAGTGGTAAGACAACACAATAAGTAGTATTTTTTTTGGTTTTTCGAGACAGGGTTTCTCTGTATTGTTTTGGAGACTGTCCTGGAACTCGCTCTGTAGACCAGGCTGGCTTCGAACTCACAGAGATCCACTGGCTCTGCCTCCCAAGTGCTGGGATTGAAGGCGTGCGCCACCAACGCCTGGCTTGAGTAGTAAATCTTGTATTATGTTATCCCACTGTAAAAGTTCTTTAAAGAGAAATAAGGCAGTGACTATGGGACAGCAGCAATGAATCCAGTCAAGGTATTTTAAATAAGTGGTCCCAGGAGACATCATTGAGGGAAGTTGTTGCTGGAGAAAGCATTCCTGCTTGTACTAATCTGTTTTCTGTTGTTGTAACAAAATTCTAGAGGCTAGGTGCTTCTCAATTAAAACAGACTTGCTTGTCTCAAAGTTTCAGAAGCTGAATGTCCCAGATCAGAGGGACCAATAGATTCCACCCCTCTGAAGAAGATCTCATGACACTGTCCCATGGGGTGGAAGAGAGATGAGGGAAATGAATGCTTGCAAAATGATGCCAGAGCATCAGTGGCCTTGCTATACAGCACCCACATGAAAACCAACTAGGGTCCCATGAAAACCACAGTAATACTTTCTTGAATGATCTAATTACCTGCCAATAATGTGCACCACCTAAAGGTTCCAATGCTCTCTACATGTCCACCCAGAGGATCATATTTCCAGCATGTGTAACTCCAAACCACAGCCTAACAATAGCACAGTCGGGATAACTGCAAGTCTAAGGGTCCTGAGGTTGAAATCTGCCTACGATATTCAAAGAATAGCAAGAAACCAGTATGGTTGGAGCAGAGAAAATAACTTGGAAGACAGTAGAATAAACAGGTCAGAAGGATATAGGGATATAGATTGTGTGAGCCAGTGGAAGCTTTGATTTTTACCATCAGTGTCACTGGAATTTGGGCATAAGTCTGACACCTCACAGGTCACTATGTAGAGCAGATTTGATTGGTGTGGGAATTATGGGAGAAGGAGGGACAGAATCAAAAACCGCATATAGATATCTATTCTTGAAACCTGGCAATGTGGCCAGACTGGCTCTGAGGAGCTGTTTTGTAAAGGAGTCAAGGAACTTATACTAGAGATGTGACACGCCATTCTGATGGACCAAAAGTAATGTCTGAAAGGGAGAGGAGTCAAACACAACTTGGATACAAAGCTACTGCTTATTGTGTCCCCTGGAAGATCAAGCACAGAAACCTTAATTCCTTGATGATACAGTGTTAGGAGGTGGGGTCAGAGCCCTCATGAATGGTTTAATGTCTCTCTTGTAGAAATGGTTTAGCCAGCATGGCTCACCTGTGACCATGTGTCCATTTTTCATGAGTTGAGGCAGCACAAACCCCTTATCAGAAACCAGGCAGATCACATCACCATACTTTTGAACTTCTAAGGCTCCAGAATCATGAGGCAAAATGAGTTCTTCTTCATTCACTAGCCAAAGCAGCAAGTATTCTGTTACAGCAATGAAATACAGAAATACACATCCATGAAATGGACTGAGAAGACTATTGGCATAATGGATTAGGGAACAAAGGATCCATTTATGCCCTTCCTCTTCCCTTTAGTATTGCCCTTATTTTTATACAGAAGTAGCTTCATCAATTTCTCCCTTTACTCTTAGGCTTGCCCTTTCAGATTTCCTTTCCTTTCCTAGAGGTTACATAAAGGATATACAGTGTTCCCATTGTTGGATCAAAACATTACGTATAGCTGATTCTTCTAAATGGGATCTTGTGCCTCTGAGAAATAGCAACATGCTTAGCTTGTCTCTTGAGCACAGAACCTGACTTTCCACTCACTTCCATTGCACCATATTCCCGAGTCCTCCTGAAAGCAACCCCTCCCCTTCTTACAAATAGTTGTGGTTTGAATGAGAATGTCCATAGATGCATATATTTGAATATTGGGTTCCCAGTTGGAAGAACTGCTTGGGAAGAATTAGCAGGTGTGGCCTTGTTGGAGGGTGTGTGTACCTGGGAGTGGGCTTTGAGGTTTCAAAAGCCCAAACCATTCCCAGTTTTCTGCCCCTCTGTGTCTCTGCTTCTCTGTCTCTCTCTGCCTCCATCTTTCAGATGTGAGCTCTCAGCCACTACTCCAGCACCGCGCTGTCTGCCATGCTTCCCACCATGATGGACCCTAACCCTCTGAACCCATTGCCTTGGTCATGCTGTCTCCTCACAGCAATAGAAAGTAAGGCACAAATATAACTTAGCTTTGTGTTTACTCTGTTTTTTCCCTCTGCTTACCCCAGTTTTCATTAATCCTCCCATCAAGTCTTCCCCCTCTATATTGTTTGGTCTCATCTGCATTAAGCCTCCTCTACTCCTCCACACCATGATGATCACCTTACCTGTGTTCCTGACTTACCCATCTCCTCTGGCACTCAGTTACAACACTCTCCATTAAACTATGGAATTTTGGCTCTTTTCTCCTCTAAAGTATTTGCATTTGATTATTTTTAAAGGGAATTTGGATTTTAACTTTCCATCTTGCCTCTGTTTCACAGTGTACGGAGAGTTCTAATTCCCATTTAGTTCACGTTTGAGTCTCTTGCTTCATTATTTCCTTCTCATTCCTAAACTCTTTACTACATTTTTTTCTTCAGCATTTTTAGGACATGCCAAGTGAACAAAGAGAAAAAGATTGTTATTTTCTCCTTTTTACCAATTTTGCCCCACAAAATAAAAGAAGGTCATGTTTGGAGTCTAAAGGACAGTTAATGGTACCTTGGTGTTCCTTAACCAAGCATGAGATCTTCTTAGGATTCCCTGTGAGAATCCTGTGAGTGAAGTTTCATTGGTCTGGAGGTATAAATCAAGGTTCAGGGTACTTTAGCATTTGTAAGGTCCTGAGTTCCATTCCAGCACCCCACACATACCCACACTCAAAAAGGTGTTCAGTAAGAGTCACTTGAGACAGAATCTTCTGTGGTGTCCCACAACATTCTTGAATCTCACCTTCACTTCTTTGTGGGGCTTCCATATTAGACTTCTGTCAACCATCCTTTCTCAGAGGTTAATGAGAAAAGACAACAAAGAAAAAGCCATTTTTCTCAGCTGAATGCCCTTTTTACAAATAAAAAAAGTATGTTCTTCTAGATTTCAGAGTAAGTTGACAGCATTAAACAATTCTGTGGCACAAAGGTCTTTTTTTATGCTTTTATTTAGCAAAATTCCCAGGTGATTTTTGAGATACATTAGACAACCCATCCACTGAGGGCAAGTGGGGTCATTCTAAAATGTTCGTCAATAGTTCTCAACAATTTTGCCAGAGTCACAGAGAAAAAGCCACCTGAAAAAAAGGCCATTGTACAATGGAACTTGTATAGCCAGATTTCTTAAGATATTAACAAAAGGCTCTGGCGCTCTCTCCTCTCTCTCTCTCTCTCTCTCTCTCTCTCTCTCTCTCTCTCTCTCTCTCTCTCTCTCTCTCTCTCTCTCTCTCTCACACACACACACACACACACACATACAAGAACACCATGTTTAAAATACTCAATTTAAAAATTAAATTTTACCTAATACATTATGACTATAGATTGGTTCTTAGACACAAGAGCTACACCTAGCTATATTTTGCAGAAGAGGCTGGGCATCACTTGATGTTGGTTTACAGACTTAACTTTGTAACGATAGGAGAAATATTTCTTGTAGGGTGCTCAGTCCAAAGCAAAGACCACCTCACTGGGTGTCTTGCTGCCATGCTGAAACATCTCTCTCCCTTGCTTCCTCCTCTGAGTGCCATCATGTCTAGAAATCTTCCCTATCCTGAGCACTATGGGAACTCAGGCTGTGGCCTTCTTGTCCCCTCTGCCTCCCAAATCACCACCTCTTCTATCTGTTAACACGTGCTTACAAAATAGGGAAGAGAAACACACTTGGGCCTCACATTTTAACTTTTGACAGTATGGGATCTGAGAGACAACCCTAGCTTTGCATCTCATTTCATGGGCTCCATGGATGACAATGACAATGAACATGAGCTTTCGCCTCTCTGGCCCACAGTGAAGTGTCATCGCATTAGAGGTAGGAAAGCAACTGGCCCACAGTGGTGATAAAGATAAGTCCCCCTCTGTGCCCTAATATGCCAGCTGTAGATGGCGACTGTCTTCCAGAGGATGGAACATAGATGCTTCTAGGATGTGTATCTTGGGAAGCAAAGTTTTGCTGATATTTGTACTTCTGATAAAGCCCAACAGAATAATCCACGTTTGGGAGGAACTGCAATGTGCGCCGTACTGAGCTGATTACCGTGCCAGGGACAGCACCTCCTTACACACAACACTCATCTGTGCACTTGGCCTCCTCGGGCTCCTTCCGCTCATGAACTATGACTCAGATAAATTGGCCTTGAAATCACACACCACAGCTTAAAGAAGGTTGAAGAGAATAAAATGGTTTTCTAAATGCACTGTCCCACATCTCACTGTAGAAACAACTGCAGGGGTAGTGACGTTACCCTGAGAGGCAAGGCTGCATCCATGACAGTCTGCTGGACAACTAATTACAATGGAAGCAGCACTGAGCCTAAGAGATGGGATTACAAACTTCACCTCGTTCCTACTTAGCATGAGACTTGGGCCAGCCCGCTGTGCTGAATAAACCTCCACTGGGAAACCGTGGTGCTGTGCGGGAGCACACACCTGTAATCCCAGTTCTCGGGAGACTGGGGCAGAAAGGTTACCATGGGTTATGCTAAACTGAGTAGTACAAACCCTGTCTTGAGGGGGGAAAGTAGCAATTAAAAGACAAGAAAAAACAGAGGGCCAACTATTCCTGCTATCACATGGGGAGGACAGGGAAATAAGAGGGGCGGTATCTCAGAGATGTTAACAACTGTGAAACGGATGAAGAAAATTACAGAAAGCCGTGGTTTTATGTCCATGGTGAGCTCTTTCTGTATCACATTCAGGCTTATGTATTTATCTCTTCCCCTGGCAAATGACTAGAATTTCAGTTCAGTAAAATGCTTATGTGTTTTGCATGTGTGTGCATGCCGTGTGTGTGTGTGTGTGTGTGTGTGTGTGTGTGTGTGTGTGTGTGTGTAATGATAAAATCCACATAGCCACTCTCTTGTCTTCTGCATTTAAAGCATCACAAATCCATAACAACCCATGCAGTGTCTGTAAGCAGAAGCCCCAGCCTACGGCAGCAGCAACTGCAGGCATACATTGCCCAACTGACTTTGAGTTTTTTTCATGTGGCATGCAGTTTCCTTTGTAAAATATTCCACAGAGAAGCCCTAACAAGCTGTAATAGAGGGTATCCACAGGTGACCTGGGGGCTACAGCCGCCTCAGTTCTGATGGGGTCTTTGTCTATAGATCTTCCGCTAGCCACGCCCCTGGTTCCGTATTAAGACAACTAGAAGGAGAGGCAGGCTGGTCACCTATAAGCTGCATATGGAAGAGTGAACCTTCCCAAACTTCTGAAAAAAGTCTTCCTGCGCCTGGGCCAAGGCTTCTTCATCAATGTAGACTGCGGGCCTCTTGGCCATGATGAAGTACTGCACCTTCCGCAGACTCCAGCCAATCACGTAGTGGAGCCAGCCGCACACTGCAGCTGTGGAGCGGCCCACCCCGGCGTTGCAGTGGACGTACACAGTGTGTCCGTTCTCCAGCAGGGCGTGCAGGAGGCACACAGCCTGTGGCAGCATCTGCACCCGGCCTAGACAGAGGAAGCACAGAACGTGAGTGAATAGAGGAACTGCTATGTCACAGCTAGAAATTCTGCCAGTGCACTACAGCAGAACCCTGAGCTCAGGGGAAACGGGGTGTGACCGTTTGCTTCATTTCCTGCTTTAGTTGAGAAAAGTGAAACAAGTTCAATACCTGAGAATACCAAGGAGGAGCGGGCATCCCCGATAGTCCGTACCTAACCTAACTATTCCAGGGATATTAGTGCTTTTTGAGATGCTCGGCATTGATGAAAAGCTCTCTACAAAGCTAACTACCAAATGTTTTGGGGAGGGCAGGAATCAGAAGAAAGGATTTTTAACATCTTTTTGAAAACATTTGCAGAGATTTGGCAGTGGTTTTAGAGGATTTCAAAGAAAACTTGATAAATCCTGTCCCTCTCAATCTCACTACTCCTAAGTGTCCTTCCAGGCAGACAGAAAGCACACAATTAGTTCACACTGGTTAGTGACTCAGTCATACTCACTGCTTAGATAGATGCAATATGAGACAGAATTTAATATGCTGGTTTTCATTCAAGTAACCGAGTATGGGATAACCAATCATTTATGTCGCCACAATCCAGTGAATACTGACACAGTTTTACTGTCCTCTGACTGCTATTCTGATGATCAAATGCCCCCCCATCCTGAGAAGTATGCTGGGTCTGGCTGATTCCCAGCAGCTCCTGAATCCGGCCAGGCAGGGGAGTAACAACCGACCATCCTCTGAGCTCTGAGCTGACCATTCTTTCTGCTCATAAGCTCTCTCTAGAGAGACATTTAGTGAGACTTTTGTTTATCTGTCTAGTATTTTTGTGGGCAGCATCATGACAAATGGCTTCAGAAGGGAATGAAAGAGGGTGACTACACAGAACTATTGGGTTTTAACTGTGCACTTACAACTTGGCATTCTCTAGTTTCTCTGTATATCATAGAGGGACACGATGGCCCCAGGAGGATCTCCCAGGACTACAGAGATGTCTTGTGTCCATGTTATGGTCCCTGTTGGATGACTGAAGAGATGAGAAGTCCCTCCCTCACCTACAGGTCTTCACTGAAGCCTAGAATTATGCCCTGTGGCTTTCACCCCTGAGATGTCCTCTTTAGCAGTGCTAATACTCTGAAGTGGCCAATACAGTGCCTTAGAATCAGAAGCCAGTACCTTGAAAGTAGAGTTTTCATAGAAGCTCACCATGCCTCCAAGATCCCCTCAGTCATGATCCCAATGAAACCCTTAAGTGGCCACTCAAATGCAGTCAGTCTGACCACAAAGCCTCTGGCATTGACCCCTGTGCTGTGTTCCTTCCTAACCCACCTGGTTACTGGCACTCTCCATCTCTCATCTCAGTCTGGATTCTCAAAGTCCCTCCATGTTACTATGACCCTGTGTGACTTCAGTGTCTTCCCAGGTCTAAGAGGTCTGCATCCAAGGGCCCCAGTGCAGACCCCGAGTCACCAAGGAATGATAAAATGGTCCTCACTGTATCAACCAGAACATACAAATTTACAGATAAAAGTTTCCAGCCTTAAAACAGTAAGGTAAAAATAATCAGATTCTTTTTCTAAAGGTTTACTTGTTATCTTATGTGCATGAATGTTTGCCTCCAAGTATATACATGTACCCCATCATGCCTTGTGCCAGGGGAGGCCAGAGGAGGGTGTCAGATCCCCAGAAACAGGAGTTACACACTGTTGTGGGCGACTATGTGGGTGCTGGGAACCAAACCTGAGTCCTCTGCAGAAACAAGTGCTATTAACCACTGAGCAATCACCCCTGCTCCCAGATTATAGTTTATGAAAAATGTTCCAGATTTTAAATGTTGCTAACTAAATTGAAAAAAGTACAAACCTTATGTAGGTCAAGCAAAACACTCCACTGTCGGGAGTGAGATCATTGTTATTTAGGACCTCTTGTAAACACTGCCAGCTCTTTTAAGAATTTTGTTATCAGCCTTCCTGCCCTTTCCAATTCCTTGATAAGAAGAACCTGGGCTCACAGGAACAGCTGATAACAATCTGCAGTTAGATTACTTAATAACCCTTCTCCCTACAATTAGGTTATTTAGTGACTCACCCTGCAACCTTTACCTGCTGCTCAGCATCAGTGATGGTCTGCAACTATCAACACCCCTCAGTAAGTGACCAAAAACACTCCTTGGTACCTGACCATGAACACCCCTAGGCCTGATTACCAGGCAATGACCCCCCCCAATTCCTACCCTAACTACTATATAACATGCCTGAGGAAAATAAAATCTCTCAGCTTGATTGGGAAGTCTGTCATGCTGTCTGTTTCTTGTATCTCTTGTCCCACCATTCCAAGTTCCCGTGGGCTCGACCCCCATGTGGCCAGGGTACTCCACCATCTGTGTTTCCCCCCTTGGAATTTAAAACAAGCATTGGGTGTAAGTAGATGCTCGCTCAGCAGTCATTAGATACCTCAATAAAAACTGAACAAGGAGCCGGGAGGTGGCGGCGCACGCCTTTAATCCCAGCACTCGGGAGACAGAGGCAGGCGGATCTCTGTGAATTCGAGGCCAGGCTGGACCGACAGCCTCCAAAACAATACAGAGAAACCCTGTCTCGTAAAACAGAAAAACAAAACAAAAACTGAACAAGGAACAGCAATGAAACAATACCATTTGTTTGATCTGAGACACTGTTAGACTTCTCCATTCTACCTTGTGTTCAAAACCTGCTATAGGCTAGTCTAAGTCTCAGATGTCTAAAAAAATCCCTGAAAGGGAAGTAGGTATTGAACAAGCCAAGGTTATAAAAAAAACAGGTTTTTAGCACCTGGCACTTTAGAACCTTAAATAGGGGAGATCAAATGCCCCTAAAGGAATGCTTTGCTTTGTCTAAGGTTGACCAAGAAAGAAATCCACAGCAAGCGTGCACATCTTTTCTTTCTTAGCCTGGGGCAGTATATATAACGGTACACATTGTTATTTTACTTGGACAGTCTTGTTTTCCACCTTCGAGCTATAGTGTAGATGAGGGTCCATCTTATCTGTGTCATCCTCTGTAGAAAGGTAAAGAACTCCCGCCCCTATCTGAGAAGCTATGGGCCCTTGATAGTTTCTAGGCAGAGAGAGTCAGTTTTCTTCACAAGTGTGTCTCTTGCTGCAGAGGATGGCCCCACATCATATGGTCAGCGCAAAGCAGACCCTGGGAGTTATATACAAAACAAGTCTACAGTGTGGGAAGGGTGTACGAAGATACAGTGAGGGGTGGATCTGGGCGGAATTACAAGGAGGAGTCAGGGTAAGTCTGATCAAAATACATTTTATGAAATCCTCAGAGAATTAATAAAATATTTTTTAAAACTTGTGACTAATCATACAGTCTACTATTGTTGCAATTTAAGAAAAACGGTGCACGAGAGAAAGACACCATGAGACAGTGTTCAAGCAGAGGGGATTTTTACTAGGGAAAGGGATTATAAAAAGGGAAAGGGAAGGGAGGAGATCAGCCTCCAGAGACAGGAGCAGCAGGAGAGAGAGGGGGAGATGGAGAGAGAGGGAGAAGGAGGAACAAACAGAGGGAGAGAGACAAAAAAGGGAAGGAAGGGAGGGAGGGAGGGAGGGAGGGAGGGAGGGAGGGAGGGAGGGAGGGAGGGAGGGAGGGAGGGAGTGTTAAAAAGGAACATAGTGAATGTGCACAGGTGGTGCTCTTAGTGGCTGCAGCTGAGGGCGTATCCAGTCAGAACCCCTAGGACAGGACAGGACAGATGCCTGAATACTATCAATTATAATCTAGTTAGTAGAGATTCCCACCCTTAAATGTTCAATGCTGGAATTAACCTGGCTGCATCCCAAGCTACTCAATGCCTACAAAGCTCCAGCTTGACCAGCTTCTGATCCCGTGACCAGTGTCTTTGCATAAAGCCAGAGATGAATTCAGACCGCTGGGTAAGAGAGTGACCAACCCAGGCTGTGGGAACAAAGCAATAGCCAGACTCTTAGAGCTCAATGGGAGGGGAAGAGGGTGTTACTGGAACAGAGGTCAACCCCAAATCTGACTTCCCCTGAGAAGGAAGTTCTAATGAGCAAATGCAGTTTATTTCATTGAAGTAGCTACTGGAATTTGGAGATTTTTTTTTAATTTCTCAGGTGAAAGAGACAAACCACATTTTACAAAAGAACAAATGAAAAGAAGAAGGTGTCTACACCTTATATGACAAAATGTACAACAGGGGGATCAATAGGACAATTGATTGCAGCAGGCCTGTGACAGTTGCGTCTAACAGACTCTCCTTTGCAGACTTAACCTGACAGCACTGCGAAGGAGCTCGGAATGCTTCCAGACAGATACCAGCCCTCCCCCTGGACTTCTAAAAATATCCAGGTGGATTCATCTATATATGCATTAGCCTGTAACTGTAAGCTACCTAGATTAATCTGTGGGTAGAGAGTCACTCTGCCACTCAGGAAGAGTTAACTCCTTGATCGCTTCTCCAGGTCCGACTGAGACAAAGGAGCCCTTTAGCAGTGTCAGTCTGTCCTGCTGCAGGTGGGGATGCAGGGGTTGCTTCTTTGCTCTCATCCTGTGTTCTGTTGGCTGTGCATGGTAGCTGGCCTTAGATGCACTAACCTGGTCACCCAGTGACAACCACAACAATGAGTCCTAGTGGATAAATAGACCCCAAACTGCTGAACAACTTGCCTATTTGCCAGCAGAGCCTTCATTTAGCAGAGCATGGGATTCAGTGGGGTGAGTAGCAGCTAGAATTAATAGCTCAACTGTTCCCTGCCTGTTTCCCTCATATTTACATCGATGTGCAACAATGCTGTGAAATTAGAACCACAGAAGCCAACTCAAAGTGTCTGTGTGGGCTACAAGAGTCCTAACAAGTCTGTGACTGTTTTAAAACCAGAGACCATCTGTGCAAAGCAAACCCATCCCACTTTCAGCTGATGAGAATTCTGTTTCTGCTTGGGGTTTAGCCTGGAGAAAAGGCAGGGCTCTTACACTAAGCTAAGATTCATTTGCTCAGATGACTAAGAGAAATAACTGGAATGTCAATGTCTCTCCCCACCTCAAGGAACATAAATTACACTATTCCTTAATGATGGAACAGTCCAAATCTACTGAGGGACCTGTCTGGCCAGGAAGTTCACACGAGGTATTTGAAGTACCAAAGGTGGCCAGTAACACAGGTTTCCTACGGTCCTCAAGGTGTTCTGCTTACAGACCACTGGTTGTTGGGGTGATGGATGAGCTATGTACCCTCGGTTCATGGCTTTGCAGAACTCTAGCTAAACACGAACCGAAGGAACTGAAATTATGTCGGTCTGTAGACTCTGCCTGAGCTATACGAAGAAACAGGTAGTTGCTACTTCGAAGCCTGGCTTGGGGAACATTGCTGTGAGTCAGACTATCGCCCTCAAAATCTGGGTTGTGACTCTTTCCAGTCAGAAGACCTGTTCCCACCACACAACCTTTTTGTGCCTGTCTCTTCCTCTGCAAAATGGGGGTGACTATAACATCTACTTGGACCGTCTGAGAACCTGATGAGTTAAGGCATGTCAATTAGGAGTGGCTGGAGTCACACTATATCTTTACAGAGAGAGCAGAGGGGAGAAATGTTTTCTGGCTTCTTGGATAGGCTTCACTGTCATTCTCTTTTACCCAGAAGAACCAATCTCTTAACTCCCCAAAACCGATGCACTCTACAGCTCTCTGCTGCCCTCTGCTGACAATTTGTTAATACTGTGGTCCAGATGTGGTTCTCTTACCTGAAAACAGTTACCCCTACTTCTCAGCAAATGTCTACCACGTTTATATACGGCTCTCCTAGAGCTCCAAGCCTCTGCGACTTTGTCTATGTTCCTTATTGCGCTCCCTCTGTCCACGTCTCACATCTCTCTTCCAAGCCAGGCAGGTCCACTTCAAATGCCACAGAATTCACGTAGGCTGCCTATCTTGAGAAGGAAGCCATAACCCCCAGAGCACATCGCATCACTCGCTGTCCACTCTCCCTGCACTGTAAATGGTTTTGAACTTGCCTTACCGCATCTTATGTCGCAACTATGCTTCCCCAGCGGCACCCAGCCACGGTGCTCCAGGGCTTGCCCAGCTGATACTGACTCTCTGCCATCCTCCCCACAGCCCGCATGCCTCATTCCTCACAGCATCACCCATCTTCGTGCACCCACGTCACTGGACCCCCAAGCCCAGCTCCAAGCTGCCCACGCTGCAATGGAAGTGGACTTTTGATGAAAATACTAAAACCAAAAAAACCGTGGCATTTCCCAGCTTCTCATCCTTTCTCTGCGGTAGCTTTGCTAGTACAGTGTGACGTTCTCACTGGAGCCCAGATCCTGGGGGCACTTCCGCATCCTCAGTACACTGGTCTTTCAGCTCCTCCCCCGACCTAAGGGCTCTTCTAAACTTCTCCCATCCTGTCCTTCCTCCAGTCAGTGCCAGACACCACCTCCTCAAAAGCATTTCTAGACTATCTACCCAAGCTCTGCAGAATGTCTGTGATTCTTTAAAACTAACCCATTATGCTTTTAAACTCCTATTTTTGTCCATTCCATTAACACTTGCCATCCCTCAGGGACTATACACTCTGTGCTCCCAGACACTAACATAATGCACACACACACAGTAGATACCCTATATATATTAAGTGTATAATATATACATATTATAAAATATATATTTAGTATATATAGTATAAAAAGTTAAAGAAGCCATGTTAAACAGAACCCTGTCAAAGTATCTAAAGACATATTAAATCTAAATCGTATGTTAATTTCATTTTATAATTAATAGTTGAGGCATTCAATTATAGATGACCGAAAGACAGACAATAAGTGTGTCTCTGAAACAAGTTCAGCAAAGAACCAGAGTGCTGTTTCTGACTCTCACCCTCAGTGCTCATGTCTGGTGTGGGCATCCAGATGTAGGCCAAGCCTTCTTCCTTGTACAGTTTCATCATGGTGTCTGGAGTCATGGGTTCAGGGTAGCGGTTACAGCCTGAAGAATTCTGGATGATATCCCATTCGGTCTGGAAGTTCATGACAGCTGTAATTCCCAATTCATGCTTCAGTTTGATGGTCACATGTTCTAGTTGGCGAGGGCAGCTGCCCAGCCAGATATTTGGTAGAATTCTGGAAAAAAACACATGAAATCAGGCTCTAACCTGAATTCTCAGTATCTGCATACGACATACACAATTAGTCTTTCATTCTGATGAGGAAAGGCTAGATTTTTAAGTATTACTGTTTTAGGAAAACACATCAAGAGACAACAAGCACACAAAGAAGCAGATGTTAGAAACTAAATCCCACAACATATTGAAATGAACTCCCCAAGTCGTGCCCATTGTATGAATGCTGAACAAAACCCATCAATTCATTTCAAACCAAATTAAATGTAAAAACAGATACCATCATCTCAACTTTTAAAAATACACATTACTAAAATACAGCCATTACTCCTGTTCAGCACTATGTAATTTTTCCAAATAGGATAAGACTTGTGAAACATGCTAAGCCTCAGAAGCAGTGAACTTGCATTAAATAAAATCAAAATCAAACCATTAGCTCCCAGATATTTTTCTATTATGTCATAAAAGGTGATGTGGTAGTTTGAATGTAATTTTCCCCCCATAAGCCCTAGGGAGTGGCACTATTAGGAGGTGTGGCTTTGCTGAAGTAAAGTAGGGTTGTGTTAGAGGAAGTGTGTCATGGTGGGGGTGGGAGTGAGTATGCTTTGAGGTCTCCTATACTCAAGACACACTCAGTGTAGACATAGTTCACTTCCTGTTGCCTACAGATTAAGATGTAGATCTCTTAGCTCCTTCTCCAGAACCGTGTCTGCCTTCCTCTGCTTTAAAGTTAGATGTGTTCCACACAACTTGCTTTTGTTAATAAACGACACATGTCACTTCCCATTGGGTATATTTAAAACTGTATGCATGATTCTTCTCTGCTCTCTTTCCCTGCTGCTGTGACTGAGTGTGCATGTGAATGAGCTTCTGGAATGCTGAAGCAGTCTTAGAATGCCAAGCTCCAGTCACAAGACCAGCTGCCCTAGAGAGCTAAGATCCAGTTGGGACTTGATTGTTACCTCAGCGATACACCTGTCTTGTTTTGGTAAGACAACGTATGTCATTAGTGGCTTGAAACTCCTAACATGCAAGACAGAAATTGTGCAGGGGGGTTGCATTTGCAGTAAGGTCTCTTCACGTTAACTTTAGAGAAGTGTTGTCTGATATTTTGATTGAATTCTGACAATAAAGTTTGTTTTGAATCAGGAGGTAGAACTAGCCACTCGCTGACCAAAATTAACCATAGAAGTTCTAGAGGACTGTACACAGATACAGAGACAGGAAGTAGTAAGGCAGGACTAGGAGAGGATCTCAGTCCTTTTGGATGGAGAAACAGAAAAAGCGGTCACTGATTACTTCTCCACCGCTTCTCTGATTACTCGGGTACTTACCGTGATGTCTGACTCTCAATTTTTTATTGATAAAGAATAATTACATAAGCACATCAGAGCAATGGTAGTCTACTGTGTTAGTCAGCTTTGTCAATATCAATGAGATATTTAGGGTTGTCATACTGGATGGTGGCATGTGCACCTCACAGGTTAAGATCCATAGCATTGCTGAACATCTACAGTGCAGAAGGCAGGTCACACAACAAAAAACCATCTAGTCCAAAACGCTAATGACACATGGAAAAAACCCTTGGTTTATAAAAGTAAGAATGGCACTGAACTCTGTCCCCCTTGAAGAAAGGAAGGTGTAAGATCACCATATCTCACCTGGGATTGTGGGGCTTGTAGTTCATTCTATTCTGGCTGGCAACAGCATATTCACATCGTATTTTTAAATGCATACATTTGGGACTGGAGAGATGGCTCACTTACTGCTTTTGCAGAGGATCCATATTCAGTTCCCAGCACCCGTATGGAAGCTCACAACTGTCTGTAATTCCAGTTTCAGGGGATCTGACACCCTCTTCAGGCCTCTGTGGCCATTACACACACACACACACACACACACACACACACACACACACACACACAAGGTGCACAGAAGACATACATGCAAGCAAAACACCCATATACATATATATAATATATATGTATGTATGTATATATATGTATGTATGTATATAATAAAAATAAATCTTTACATATTCATATATGCAAATATAAAAGGGATCTAGAGCAAATTAGAAGCTCTGTGTTAGACATCTGAAAAGTCACTCAAATATTTTAGCTATAAGAAGAAATGGTGTTACATATAGCCAGAAAGATCAAGTTCAAGTGTCAGTACTAGTACTTAGTAACAGTCACATGGCTTTAAGCCAAGTCATTTACCATCTCTAGCTTCTGATGTGCTCATTTTTGGAACAGGTCTAAAATTAACCAAATCACAGAAATTCTACACAAAGTAAGTACAATCAAGTACTACTGTGTTTGAATACGGCAATCACAAATATACAAGAGCCATGAGTGCAATTTACATCAAGCTATAATCATAATTCATACTGATCATTAATACTGACAAATGACTATATCACACTGGCCAAAATTCATTTTTATTGTTCTCTATTTTCTTTATTTGAATGCTGCAAGGTGTAAAACAGTCACTTATTTTTTAGTATGAAGTCTATGTTGGCTTTTCAATTTTTTTTGTCCTTTCTGTCTGTTCATTTTTTGCTTTCTCTCTTTCGGCATTTCTTGCTGCTGTTGATGAGGACATGAGAACAATCCACTCACTTCAAATGTGAGTTTTTCTGATCCTCGGTAGAAACATCTCAAAGGACCTAACTACCTTTCTATGCCCTATTTAGCAAGATAGGGAAGGGTTTTTTTCCTAGTTGGGTTCTTACCTAAAAGGGTTGTAGCCATACCCTTATGGACATCCTTATTAGTATATTAGGGGGTGGAAATGAAGGCAAAAAGTAAAAAATAACCAAGGAAAGCATAATGGTACTGGAAAGGCAGGCATGAGAATTCTTGACCCCAGAGAATTCTGAGCTAGTCCACTGGGCACAGTAGACTAGGAGAAAGGCCAGAATCGTGGCACTGGCGCAGCGTCTAGACCTGTGATGGGAAGGGTGGTGTGCCTGCATACTTGGTGTTCACACAGGCGTAGAAACGTCACAGCCCCTTGTGTTATGGTGGAATGGGAACAGGATCTGGCTCTGTCTGGACCACATCGAACCTTCTATTACTCCTTGGAGATTCCCCTCCCAGAATTCTGCAGAATGCCTGTGGAGTGGTAGTGTGGGACTTCCACATGTATACTCTGGAGTTGAACTGAGCACATCAAGTTACCCCATGCTGTGGGAAGCAGGAACTGGTTTATAGAATTAAGCAGCATAACCTATAGAATAGTAATGTATATTTTCCTGGAAAAAAATTTAAGTGGACTGGTAAAATGTCAAAATGTGTATTGATGACAGAAAAATTGAATTTCGATGTTACTCAGAGTTCTCTTCAATTCTGTTCTCTTTGACTGAGGGGCATTTAATATTTACCCAGTCAATACATGAAAAAAATAAAATGGCTGACTAATTTTCCAGAAAGGATTTGCAATTGGCATAAAAGCTGAAAAACAGTTCACAAAGATATGTCAAAGGTAAATTGACTTGAGCACTGGGAAAAACAAAACCCTACCGCAGTCTGCATAGAGAACCATGATAGTGCTTAAAAGAGACCCTGGGGGTGTTATTCTGTCATCCCATTCAGTGCTGCTCTTAAAGTAATTTTAAACACTGGAGAAAGTCAAGGCAAAACTCAAGCCCAAGGTTAACACTATCTAGATACATATGTATCTGACATTATATTTTTCATGAAAGTAAGTCACATGCCTGCACCACACATAAATACCAAATTCTACATTAAATATTTCCAACACTTTCATAAGCTACATGACTCTTCCTCCAGTAATATGATGAGCCAATCAGTATTTATCCCTAGCACACAAATGAGCTTTGGGAGCCCATTCCCTGTGGAGGGGTACTCTCTCAGCCTAGACAGACTTTGATGATCCCTCGTGGAAGGCCTCACCCTCCCTGAGGAGTGGATGGGGATGGGATGGGGGTTGGTGGGGGGAATGGGAGGACAGGAGGGAGAGGGAACTGGGATTGATGTGTAAAATAAGATTGTTTATAATTTAAATAAAAATAATTTTAAAATATAAAAATAAACTTTTTCCTCCTCCCCCCCAAAAAAGAAAGGAGTATTAAATGATGCCTGATTCTTTAAACAAGATGCTGTGAACCCAGGATACAGATAACTAAAGATAAACTCTGCAGCAAGAATGTGCTAAAAGATAGAGGATAAGTTATAAAGAGAATCAAACTGAGTATTTTATGGGACGTGGAGATAAAGGCTGGGCTTGCTAGAAACACACAAATCAGTGTTAAACAGACAGCAAAGTGTCCCTGGAGGCCATCCCGCTTCCCCCTCACTCTCACAGCAGGTTCTGCAGTCCTGCTTACATGGAACTCTGGAAATGATGAAGTGCACAGTGCACTCGCTAAACCGTAATTCTGCTTTTAGTTCATTCAGAAGGGTAATTTGACACCACTAAAAATTCATTTTTATTCATCTCACCTTGTGCTAATCTTCTTTTGGTGTCAGTGGTAGTTTAAATAGTTTTTAATGTGTAGGATTCTAAAGTAAAAGTAATTACTGAAATATGAAATTTACAGAATAAAAACCTCCTCTAGGTAAATTTAAGCCTATAACTAAGAACCAACTAGAATATTCAGTTGGGGTTGTAGCTCAGTGGTAGAGCACCTGCCTGGCACGTGAGGTCCCAGGTTCAATCCTCAGTAATGTTCCCCCTAAAGAAAATTCCTTCAGGAAAAGAGTTAACAGCCAATAATGGGAAGTAAAGAATGAGAAAAAAATAAAGATCTATATCAGTTAAAAAAAAAAGAACCAACTATTATGGCTTATAGTTATATTATAAATTATATTATAAGCCCCCAGAGAAATATTTATGGATAATTTATCATAGATTTTTTTAAGTTATGGTAGAGATTTTTGGCTGCAATATTTAGATTATTTAGAAAGGTCAGATGGAAGCAACTGTACCAAATTAAAATTAATACTCAGTCAGCCCAGAATGAAGTTCCCAAGC